AATTATTGAAGTCACTTTTAATGCAGAGTTACTCTTTTCAATGTTCACGATAGTTTTATGATAACATATGCCTGTCGGTATTATTGGTAACCGCGTCGGTATGTATCATCGGTAACCGTGCCGATATATGGACTAAATCTCGGGCCGCTGGCGCGTAATAGTAGGAGGCGGCCGGAGGAGAACTACTTCTCCTCACGGCGCACGATATGGTGCTCCGCACTGTACGCAACTGTGTGCGTATCCTGCTTACTATCGTATGTGCTTCATTAGGAGAACTAACTATTCTCGTAAACTAGCCAATAAAATCACATTCTGATTGTTCCATTATATTCTTTTATATCATTCGCTTATCGCTCTGGTGCCTGTATATTTATACAATGCTTAGAAATTGTTTCAAAATAGCAAAATATGATCAAGTGATAATAGGACAATGTAACTTTTGACCAATGTACTTTTTAGACCAAAAAGCACCAAACCAATAAGTGTTTCTTTATACGTTCTTTACTTCTGGAAAAGCGTTTTTCATTTGATACAGTAAATAATGAGATTAGTCCGATCTACTAAAATGACATATCCCGTCGGTATAACAGGACGGTTCAGCATCTTCTTAAGTGCTATAAAACTGCATTTATTGTGCGCTGATCGTGTGCGCTTATAATGCGCTGTTTTAAGGAAATTATATATATATGTCATTGTTGTTATATAATAATAAGTATATAGTAAAAATGTTATACACACAAAGTGTTTTATTTTATATAATACATTTTGAAAACAAAGCGTTTATGTTTCAAACAAAAATTGTAGGATTTTTGTAACAACGTAGCAAAAGATATGTATTTAATTAAGATATGTATAATAATGTTTTAAGATGCTAATACAGCTCTAATAATTGATTGATGGCATTTTAAACCTTAAAATGGTACTTAAAACGATTATAAATAATATAAGAACGGATTATACAAACGCCGGCTAAAGACTTTGCGCATTTAAAGCGCTTTTTATGCGCATAATTGAAGCAGATATTTTTAAGTATTTTTCAGAGCGAATTATACGTTTTCAAGCAACTTTTAAAGTTTAGAAATTATTTTTGGAACATTGTGAATCGAACCCAATCAAATTATTCATCTGCAAAAAGAGTGCGTAACTGACAGCACTTTTGAGAAGTGCGTTCTCAACAGCGTTTTCAAAGCGCTTTGCACGCGCTGCTGTGCTACGTGGGAAATTTTTATTTAATATAAAAGTTATTTTAATATAAAAATATATCTTTAATTTTACAGAAACTTACTTTTGTGATTAACTACACAAATAAAGAAATACTAATAAAATATAAAATTCAAATAAAAAAATACTAATAAAATATAAAATTCAAATAATACTTTCTTATGCAATCAAATGAAATGTAGATGAACAGTAATCATACATACCTTACGGAAGGGGAGATCATTGGAGTACCACGGCTGACTGGAAATTCAACAAGAGGATAGAGATTTGCAATATCTGGTTGTAATCCGGTGTTATAGAGCTTTCCTATCGCTTGCAGAACAACCTCAGTATTGTCTCTATGACCGCGTTGAGTAAGTGGGATGTTTATGACATCTGAGCCGAGAGATCGTCTCAGGATAGCTTGCAAGAGACCGTGAGGTGCGATCTCGATGCACACTGCGTCTTTCGGAATTAGACGAGCGGTTTCTTCGAATAATACAGGACTTAAGAGATTGTTAGTGTGATACTCAGCAGAAGATAATTTAGCGGCAGCGGTGGACCACTTGTTGCGTGGTACAGATGTGCTCACCCATTTCGGACTACGCGGTTTTGGTTGAGGAATCACTTCATTTAGATAAGCCAAAAGTTTTGATCCAGCAGGTGCAATGTAACGGCTGTGATAAGGTATGTTGCCACAAGGTACTTCTTTTGCGAAAATCTTCTTAGCCTGACACACACACACACAACACACATATATATATATACATAAAATTCTGTATTAGAATGAAGCAATAAATATACATACATACATACATACATACATACATACATACATACATACATACATACATACATACATACATGCATACATACATACATGTATATACAAGGTGAACAAAAAGTACCGGAACACCTGAATATCTCAGAACATATAAGTTTTACAGAAAGTTTTTCAGACAAAAGTAAGATGGTCTAAAAAATTCTATTTAATGATTGTATTAATGTGACTTTAGATTGCGCCGTCAAGGTTATATCGATTTTTTTAAACACAACTTCCTACTTTGTAGTACAGATTCTTATAGCCTAGCTCAAGAACTTTCCAAAACACTGAAATAAAATTTATTTTTATTAAGTACTTTGTGACTTATAATGGTTGAGTATTAGAGTATTGCCGATATTAGCATTATTTATTGGCGTTATCATTCATTTCGAACGTTGCTTTATCCAAAAAAAATTCAGGTGTTCTGGTACTTTTTTTCCACTCTGTATACATATATATATATATATATATACAGGGTGTCCCAGAATTGCCGTACAATCTCTCGTAGGCAGGTAGAAGGAATAAACCCAAGTCAAAAAGTCCTGAACCATTTTTTTCTATTATTTATAATAAAAGAGTAATTATTGAGTAAATCAGGCCAATCAGCGCCAACCTTTAGCCAGGCGCACGTCAGTGAGCCACGCGCCTGGTGTGTGTAAGCACTCCGCGCAGTTCACTGACGTGCGCCTGGCTAAAGGTCGGCGCTGATTAGCCTGATTACTCAATAATTACTCTTTTATTATAAATAATAGAAAAAAATGGTTCAGGACTTTTCGACTTATGTTTCTCTCTGACGCTTCTGCTAAAATTGTACTAAGTGTATTTGAAATTTTTCTTGTCTCACAAAGCTTCAAAATCTTTTTTGAAGCACTCAAAATATTCGTCTATGTTTCTAGTTTAGGTTAAAGGTATTTTTATTTGGATTTATATGGCCAATTTTGCATATAAAGTAAAAATATAGTTTCTGTAATAACAGTCTATAAACTTTTTTTGTTTTTCTTAAATTTTTATGCTTTATCCCATTCTATACAATATTTTCTTTATTTCTGGAGAAGCATTTTTTATTCCGATTCCTAGTTTTCACAAAAAATTCTAAATACGAAATGAGGGTAAAACAGGACGGTTCAGCATCCTCTTAAGTATTAACTCTCGCGTTAAACCGACGTTCCGACACGTCTCGATTCTCAGAATTGTACCGCGGCGAATATCGCGAGACAGTATCTCGAAATAAAGTTGTTACTTTCTAGTTAAACCTGCTGGTTCGCTCTTTTTCCTAATGTATCCCGTACACGAACTCCGCCTCTCCGTTATGAAAAATTATCTGCACTAACCGATGCACTTTTTGCGGCCATCACGTCCTGCGGTTAATTAACAGAATTATTTGAGGAATTCGGTGATACGCCCCGGCGTATCTGGCCCCTAACTTCAGGAAATTTTGCGTTAGCATTGAGATCCCGCGAGACATGACGTTTTGTGCCGTTTGAAAGAATAGTCTACAGTCACTCTAGACATCGAGTAAAAATTAACGGTCACAGTATACATATACGTTTGTGTAAATTTTTATAAGTGATTTTCAAATTGAAATTTCAAGTCTTAAATTCATATAGGATGCTATATTTGCATCATATTTATAAGATACCCTATATACTCCCCTAACTAATTTTAAAATATTGAAAAAAACTCTTCGGCCAGGAATTGAACTTGGAATCTCCGGCACGGAAAGCCAGCGCTGTTGCCTTATTTATCTTTAGTTAATGTACAATAAAATAGAATGATAAAATAAACAGCGATGACAGCGTATTATTCGAACGTACCTCTAGTGTTTTTATTGTTGTGTGTGATTCTTATTCACAGATATTTAATATTAGATTGCCTTGAACTACTAGGTATGTACACTAATGCTTACTAATCGAGTTTTTTAGGTGTAAAAATATATTTATAACAGCCAATCAAATGGTGCTATCAACTAATAAGTTAGCCTAATTGGCTATTCTTACACTAATTACATTAAAAAAAAATTTAGTAATGAGAATATCAATACATGCGTTCCAATATTTACTGTCAATACTGGAAATCTATAGTACATGTGAAGTGAAGTAAAGATTTTTAGTACTGGCAATGAATATCGGAACTCATTCTATATATTCTTTATTGTTTTCTCGATCGTTGCTCTCAGTTTTCTTTTTTCCCACTTTTTCCCTTTAAATTTCAAAAATTCTCCAAAATAGAAAATTTTCCCTCAAAGTAGAAACACTGCTCATAACTCAAGAAAATCTCAACTAAAAAAGGTTTGTAAGCAGTGTTTCAAAAACGCCTTTATATGTATATATATTGTTGCGAGATGCGTCATGTATTGTCATACGGTGTATGAGAAGGATGCTTGATCTACGATCGATCGCCGCAGATGCATTTGTTCGAAAGAAGATCGGGTTTGTTTACGTTGGAGTTCAAGCTACAGATTGGTGCGAGAATCGGAGCCAACGGAAAGACTTGTCGGCGGCTCGGAAATTACACGCGCGTTTCGCCGCTCTCTGTACACAGTTCGCGAATAAAGTCTTGTACGCGCCTGAAAGAGAATTCTGTTTAAATATTTCGACTTTGCCGAATGGCTTGATATGTATTGCCTTGTAGCTAATGCTTTCGACTGTTTATTAGTGTAATTCCCTTGAGAAAGGTCGTATCGCGCCATCTCTAGGAACACATGTTATTGTATCGTGCATGATTTTGGAAATACTTGCCAATTACACAACGAGAGTCGTTAAGAGACCGTTGAGGAGATCGGTCGAAGAGAGAGAGAGAGACTTGACTATGTAACGAATGAGTGTTTTTTTCTTGTGTTAAGAATAATAAATTTATATATGTTGATTATTAAGTGCAAAGATAAGTGATATTTAATTGCCCTCAAGTAAACCGCTTTGTGATGTGATATACAGGGTGTCCCAGAATTGCCGTACAATCTCTTGTAGGCAGGTAGAAGGAGTAAAACTGAGTCAAAAAGTCCTGAATCATTTTTTTCTATTATTTATAATAAAAGAGTAATTATTGAGTAAATCAGGCCAATCAGCGCAGACCTTTAGCCAGGCGCACGTCAGTGAGCCGCGTGCCTGGTGTGTGTGAGCGCTCACTGACGTGTGCCTGGCTAAAGGTCTGCGCTGATTGGCCTGATTTACTCAATAATTACTCTTTTATTATAAATAATAGAAAAAAATAGTTTAGGACTTTTCGACTCAGTTTTACTTCTTCTACCTGCCTACGAGAGATTGTACGGCAATTCTGGGACACCCTGTATATATATATATAGATAATTTTTACCCACGCGACTAAAGTCTTTTATCCTTATTCACTGAGTTTCCTTCCATTCGCGGGGCGCGAAAACGTGGCGAAAGTGCGACAATACACACACACACACACACACACATGTATATATATCAGTATGTATGTATGTACATTTACGTAAATAAAAATAGTTTTATCACATCTTTACAAACTTTTAATTGTAACGTTTTTGACGAGCTGTCAAAGTTACAGTATGAAACTAATAGCGCTAACGTATTGACAGCTCGTCAAAAACGAGCTTTTATATTAAATTATTATACGATTTTATAATTAAAAGTTTGTAAGAATTTAATGAAACCGCGATTTTATTAACATACGAACTTTATTAATTATATGTATTAAAATATGACTTAATGACAAAATTTTTTTGATATAATTTCTGTACTTATCTAACTATCAAGATATAAGAACACGGCACAGTGCGTCATACCTAAGTGCGCGAAATATAAGCCATTTAATAAGTCACTTTTAAACGCTTCTAATTCAAAACCTATTAGCCTCGATACTATGATATTAAAAGTTTTATCTTAAAATTGTCTCAAGAATCATTACATTTAAATTACGGTCGTGAGTTGCGGAACACTCTGTATATACAGGGTGTCCGACAATTAGTGTAAAATCTCTTGTAACCAGATAGAAGGAGTAAAACTGAGTCAAAAAGTCCTGAACCATTTTTTTAAATCACGTATAATAAAAGAGTACTTATAAAGAGTACTTATACTAATAAAAGAGTACTTATTGAATAAATCAAGCCAATCAGCGCCAACTTTTAACCGAACGCACGTCAGTGAACCACGCGTAGTTCACTGACGTGCGTTTGGCTAGAGGTCGGCACTGATTGGCTTGATTTATTTAATAATTACTCCTTTATTATATGTAATAATTATATGTAATATTATTATATGTAATAGCAAAAAATGGTTGAGGACTTTTTGACTCATTTTTACTTTTTTTATCTGCCTAAAAGAGATTTTACACTAATTATCAAACACACTGAAAAGGATATACAGTTTGTCTGATAAAAACCGCTTGTAGGCAAAAGAACAGGATTATTCTAAGTCAAAAAGTCCTGTATTATTTTGCGAGATTTGCAATAATTAACTATTTTTTAATAAAGAAACATAAGCGTGCAGCCACGTACAAAATGACAGTCGCGGATCTTTATATACAGGGTATCCAAAAAATTTTGACTGAGTCAAAGTGTAAGGGTAGATTTTGTTAATCTGTATAGAAAAGTTATATATCATTTTGCAAAATTTACAATAGTTATTGACTAGTTAATTACTAAATGTGAGCCAATGAGCGCGCGGGAAGCAATCTGTTCGAACTCTGTTCGGTTTGAACTCTGTAGACGTACGCTTATCAGCTGTGAAGAAAGGTGTCTTACTTCATGCAATGTCCTAGCAAAGCGGGGCGGAATAAATAAGCAAGCGCGGCGTGATTCAGCTTCTTGCAAGCAGCCAATATTCGGCGATACGCAAGCAAGCAGCGGAGAAGTAAGAAGACTGCTTTCCGCGATCAGTTTATTCTCACGGCGATATACACGGCGCGCGCAGCAAACGGCGTGTGATATAAAAAAGATATTATTAGTTCCTTATTTTGATACAAAAAAATAAGAAAAACATCTTTTCGTCTAATTACTAATAATATCTGTTTTTTTATAACAGAAGGAAATGAGAACGCTATCATTTTTTTACCATCTTACGGTAGATAGCACGGTGCGGTTTTTTTAAAGTGGATTCCCCAGGAGGCCTAATCCTCTCATTATTTAAGGCAAAAACTGTTCAAAGTGCCGTTTCTTCTTCTTGTATACACAGTTCGGCTTTTTTAACAATGTTGTGCGTTGCATGGTGCGCCATTTCTGGCGTAATGGTACCAAAAGCCGCAACGATGGCTTCACGTACTTCATTTTTTGTACCATTACGCCGATATTCTACCAAAGTTTTGATGT